TCCTCCTCCTCCTCCTCCTCCTCCTCCTCCTCCCCCCCCTCCTTCCCCTCCTCCCCCTCCTCTTCGTCCGTTGCGGTCCTGCCCGGGACGGTCAGGGAGCCCACGCTGCGCTTGCCCAGGGCAGCAGGCGGGGCCCCCCCGCGGGAGCCTGGCCTCCCAGAGGCTGCCCGCCGCTTGGGCGGGCTCCCGGAGGGCCCTCCCGCCGCCGGGCCAAGGGCCCTCGGGCGTTCCGCTGCTTTCGACTAGCTGTGACATTTCGCCGGAGTGGCCTTCGGTGCGGGCACAGATGGGTCCCCAGATGGCTGAAAACGAAGCAGTAGCAGCTGCTTGCGCGCCCATGTTTGGCCCCCCCGCGGCCCCCAAAAGGTCGCGCACCAAAAGTCACTCTTACCCATGGTCACTCTTGCGTATAGCCGATGCTTTCGGGCGCCCCGGGGCCTTGGGGCCGCAGCCCGACTGTCAAGCCCTGAGATCTTAGATCCTGTCTTGGCCTCCCGGATGGGGTCGGAGCAGATGGGGCCGGAGGATCGCGCCGCATCGCCGATGCATCGACGGTGCCGCTCGATGAGGAGCCCGATGTTCTCCACGACGACGTCGCCGATGCATCGCCGATACATCGCCGATACATCGCTGGTGCATCGCCGATACATCTCCGATACATCGCCGATGTATCGGCGATGCGGCGTGATCCTCCGACCCCATCTACTCCGACCCCATCTAGGAGGCATCTAATCCTGGCGTTGCAGTTTTTTCGCGACGGGCGTTTTCGCTCAATTTCGTGCCCCGGGACACCCACATATCGATCTGGCTCGCAAAATGCGACGCAGAAAGATGGGGGGGTCCAGGGCTCCAGTCGTGTTTTTTCGCGATGTTGCAGTTTTTATCCACAACATCGGACTTCAGGGAGGGAGGAAGAACCACCCGGACCCGCTAACTGGCGTTTGCTAAACGGCCTTGCTTGGGCGTTTACGAAACAGCCCTGCCCTGCCCTGTTTACGAAACAGCCCTGCCCTGCCCTGCCCTGCCCTGTACAGTGTTCTCTGCACGCCAATCTGGCCTCTCCCTAGCCACAGGCTGCCGACCCCGGGCTCCTGTGCCACGGGCTTGGTTCTCTGCCGCCGTTGGGGTTTCGGCCAGTCCGGAGCGCCGGGGTGCCTCCGGTCCAAAACCTTTCGAAATTCCAGCGCTTGTCTGTACAGGCCGCTGCCTTTTCAGTCGCGGTTCCTGCCTGTAACTATTCTCGTATTTGCACATGGAGCCTGCTGGCTGTGATTGTGCTCCCCCTTTCCGCTCGCCTCCTCTTTCTCATCTCTTTCCTTCTCTTGCCCCCTTCCCGCGCTTGGTGCGACACGAACGGTGCCGCCAGATGTTGATTTTTTCTTCTAGCTGCTCATTCGCTCTGTGTGCCTCTCTTGTAGTTACTTTGGTGCTGACCCTGTAGGGTAATCCACAGGTGCCGCCGCAGCCTTTCTTTGTTCACGTTGCAGCCGGCAATGTGACATTTTGGATGTACAGGCCGATTCTCGATTTGAGGCGTGGCTTTGCTTTTTCCTCCCCTGTCTCCTCCGGCTCCTCCTCCCTGCCTCCTCCTTTCCTATTGTCGTTGTGTGTGATTTTTTGTTGTTCGGCTGACCAGGCCAAATTGGGGTGTCCGCACAGCGACTGTCCTCTGTTCCCCCTCGCCGTGCCTCCTCTCCCTCTTGTCCCCTTTACCCGAGTCCGGGGCTATTGCTGGGGTTTGTTTTCTGCCGTCGCGGGTCGGCGGGATGTCGGCCGCGCTCGCAGGACAGCATGGCGGGCTCCATTGTTGTGTTCGTCGTGTGGCTTCGGGAAGATAGCCCTCTGGAAGGGCAGCGGATCGGGCGGGCTGCCCGTTGGTACCATATAAAAAGCCCTGTTCGATTCCTCGTTGGGGTGCGTTTACGAAACGGCTTCGCGTGTCGGGGTGATTATTCTGAGGGTGGATTTTCTGCTCTCTAGAATGGCACAGGGTGGCGAGCTGGTCCTGTTGGGAGGCCCTGGGGTCCGGGGGCCTTCCCGTGAGGGCCCGCGTCATTTGTGGCAATGCGCGCTTGTCGTCGTCGTCGTCGTCGGCGGCGGCGGCGGCTGCGGCGGCGGCGGCGGCGGCGTCGTCATCGTCGTCGTCGTCGTCGTCGGTGGCGGGGCGGCGGCGGCGGCGTCGTCGTTGCTGGTGCCCTCGTCGTCTTCGTCGTCGTCGTTTCCCTTCCTCCTGGTGCGCATTCTCATCCTCGTCCTGGACCTCGCTTCCGTCCTCCTCGCGACTTCTCCGTGCCCCGTTCTTGGTCCTCCTTCTCGACCTTGTCCGCCTCCTTGCCGTGGCCCTGGTCCTTGTCCGCCTCCTCCTCTTTTTCCTGATCCTAGCCATTGTCCTCAACCCCATCCGCCGTTCTCTTTCTCATCCACCTTCTCCCCTCCTCTCCCTCCTCCCTTTTCCCTCCCTCCTCCCTCCCTCCTCCATCCCTCCGTCCCCCCCTCCCTCCCTCTCTCTTTTTCCCTCCTCTCTACCGCCTCCCTCACTCCTCATTATCGAGCTTCTCTTGGTGTGCCAGTCTGGGTTTGGGAGGAGAAGGATAAGAAGAAGGACGAACAGGAGGAGGAGGAGGAGAAGGAGGAGGAGGAGGAGCAAACCACCCCCAATTGACACATACTACACTATATCCTGCCGTCCCGAGTTTCGCTCTCGCAGGCCGATGCATGCTTTGTCATTGTCCTCTTCTTTCATCAAGATACTTGGTGGCATAACAATGCACCAATAAGTTGTTTACGACTATGGGCCGCTGTCAATACGTGTAGGTGGGATGAGGCCTCCTCCTCGTCCTCCTCCTTCTCCCACTCCTTCTCGTCATGCGTATGATCCATCCCTCCCTGCTGTTGCTCCTCCTCCTCCTCCTCCTCCTCCTCCCCTTTCCTCCCCATCCCTCCTCATCTCTCCTTCGCCTTCTGATCTTCCTCCTCCTGCTCATCCCTCCTGCCAGTGCAGTAATCTAGGCTTACCCCCCGCCTGGCCGTCTGTCTACACAAACTTCGCTTGGTGCTTCGTGAGACAGGTGTGCGCTGGCACTCTCTTGTAAGCCCTGCTGGCGGAAGTGGTTTAGTAGGCTATTGGTTGAGGTACTCAACAAGTGGCACCTGTGACAGCCCTGTGACGCCAAGTGACACCTGTGGCACCCTCTTTTCTCATCCTCACTTGTGTCAGCCACTCAGAGGATATCGATGACGCCTGTTTGTTCGAGGTGTGCGTGGCGAACTACCGACTACTTCCGCGTCCGTCGTCCGCTTCATCTATCAGCTGACCCACCTCATTGTGTACTACACAAGACAAGCGCCATTGCCCAGCGAGCATGGGAACACAAGCGGCTGCCAATATGGGATCCGATCCACTCTTCCGCAAGTGGTGCTTCCTTACGGTCTCCACTCAGACGGGTGACGGGCATACCTCGGCTCGTCGATCATCCAGACCCTGGTGCAAATGCTGCACGGCGGGCTACCAATCACTTTGAAGGCTTTGCCGCGCAGTGGTTCTTCATGGCGGAGGGCGAGGTTTTGCAAGACCTCGACGGCTGGATCGACTGGTGTGTCCACTACATGGATATGTTGATCAACATGCCCCACCTGATCGAGCCCGCTTCGGGGATGGAGCGACATTATGTGAGGATGCGCGATGCCCTCTGGCTCAGAGCCTGGGATGTCTGCGAGACGGTCTGGGACCGCACAGATACCTTGCGCAGGAGGCGTCTGGAGACTGTGCCTCACCTTTCTCCAGCCATCTGGCAGAAGGCAGCGGACTCGCACCACCAGGCCTTCTTGGGTCGGCGAAGACGCACGGAGATCAGGAACACGCCCATACCGGCCAGATATCCTCTTCCTTGTTCTTCTCGCTCAGCGCACGGATGCATACAGCCTCCCACCACCGAGAAGCTCCACCACCTCATCGCAGCATGCACCTCAAGACCAGAACCTTGCAATGGACCCCTCCCCAGCTGAGATGAGACGTCCCGCCTGGGCTCGGACTCGGATGCCACCAGCTTGCTCTTGGCGACTTCCCGCCCGACCCCCAGGTCTTCGAGAAGTGGTTTCTTCTGCTCGTTTGCCAAGACGGCTCGTGGCGCAGGCGAGGGCGATCCCACTCTGAAAGCAGAGCGCTCTCGTCGCGAGCTCGCTATCCGCGGCGCCGCCCGCTGGGGACTCTCGTGTAGGCGCGGGCTCCTCATCCCTCCTCCTCCCCCTCCTCTTCTCCCTCGTCCTCCTCCCGCCCGGCCCGCCTTCCCTTTCTCCTCCCCCCATCCGCCTCCTGTTTGCTGCTGCCCCCCCCCCCCCCTTGCGGCGCCAGGAATGCATCTGCGTCCACATCGGCCAGGCCGGCTGCCAGGTCGGAGAGAAGGCCCCAGAGGAGGAGGAGGATGAGGAGGAGGAGGATGATGATGAGGAGGAGGAGGAAGAGGAGGAGGAGGAGAAGGAGGAGGAGGAGGAGCAGGAGCAGGAGGAGGAGGAGGTGGAGGAGGATGAGGAGGAGGAGCAGGAGCAGGAGCAGGAGGAAAAGGAGGAGCAGCAGGAGGAGGAGGAGGAGGAGGAGGAGGAGGAGGGGGAGGGGGAGGAGGGGGAGGACGGGGAGGACGGGGGGTGAGGAGGAGGGAGGGAGGAGGAGGAGGAGGAGGAGGAGGAGGAGGCGGAGGAGGAGGAGGAGCGAGGAGGAGGAGGAGGAGGAGGAGAGGAGGAGGAGGAGGAGGATCACTGACCACACTGCCAGGACTGCGAGCGGGCCACCTTTGGGCAGGCTTCGGGGCCGTTGGCCGCATTTGGGATTGCCAATGGGGGAGCCCATTGCTCGGGGAGGCCCCAACTCGCAGCCTGTTTGCGGGGATGCTAACAAGGACCCGCCCTGGCTAGCAGCCCCACATCGAACGCCGGCTCGGGCTCCCGGCCCTGGGGCGGGGGAAGAGGAGGAGGTAGAGAGGAAAATCGCAAGGGGGGGGGGCGGGGCGGTCGGTGGGCCTGGAGGAGGGGGGGTGGATCAGGGAGGGGCGGGGGATGGCGAGGGCGGCCTCTGGCGTGGGCCACGAGGCACTGTCTGATTTTTCTCCCTGACACCCCAGAGGGATCATGAAGCCCGCTTACGCTTCGGACCGCGCCGCGGCTTGCCTACAGAAACCGCCAATGACGCCGACGCCGCCGTGAGCTGGGGCGCTTCCTCCAAGCGCCAACATCTGCGTGGGAGATGGCGATGCCGAAGCCGCGTCTCCCCAGGTCGAAACCGCGTCTCGACAGGAACTGGGTTTTTGAGCTGTCGAAGATGTCGAAACCGCGTCTCGATAGGAACTGGGTTTCGTAGTTCCTGCGGGCGTGGGGAGAGCGCGTGAAACTTGAGGAGGATGAGGAGGAGGAAGGAGGAGGAGGAGGAGGGAGGAGGAGGAGGAGGAGGAGGAGGAGGAGAGGAGGAGGAGGAGGAGGGGGGGGAGGGGGAGGGGGAGGGGGAGGGGAGGGGGAGGGGGAGGGGGGAGGGGGGAGGGGAGCCGGAGCAGGAGCAGGAGCAGGAGCAGGAGGAGGAGGAGCAGGAGGGGGGTGGAGCAGCCTGGAGGTGTGGGAGCTGTTCTGCGAGGAGCACAAGATCGGCCCCGACGGCAAGGCCGAGGGGTGGGGCGGTGGGGCCCCCCCGTCCGCGGGCGGCTGCTCTATCGATCGGCCCTCCCGTGCAGCCGCGGGCCGCCGGGATCTGGGACGCACCTTCGCGCAGAGGGGGGGGGGCGAACGGGGAAGAGCTAGCGAGGGGTCGAGGTGCCGCCGGCGCGTGCGCCGAGGGCGCGTCCTCGGAGGCGGCGTGGCCGTCGTCGGAGTCGTCCTCCTCGACCTCCGCGGGGGGGCCTCGTCGCGGAGCTCCGCGCGGGGCGCCTCCTCGCTGAGCTCCGCCCTCGCGGAGGGGCCCTTCGCCGGAGTGACCGTTGGTGCAGGCCCACATGGGGTCCCCCCATCACGGGCCCTCGCGCTTGGATCTGGCTTGCGCTCGGCCCCCTGAAGCTGTGCACCAAAGGCCACTCGTGCCCCCAGGGTCACTCTTTGCGGGTAGCCGAGGGGGGTGGAAGGGGTGAAGCACAGTCGAGGAGCTGAAATACGGCCTGTACCCTTTGGATAGCGCGTCGCCCCGCCGGTTCTGGCTCCCCACGCTTCGGCGCGACATGCTATCCACTAGCCGGTCCCCACGCGTCAACGTCCCGAGCCTTTCCCAGCTTCCCGCCCCGCGAAGCGGAGCAGCACGCTATCCGCTCGCAGGGCAAACCGTGTCGCCAGGGTCACCATCGCGTCACGCTGCGCAGAATCTTTCGACCGTAAGGACCATTCCGGGCTGAGGAGGAACTCCAATTTTTAGGGTCGTTCATTCGACCTTCGTCGTGGAACCTGGTCATGGCCTAGGCTCGCCGTTGCCAGAAAGCCCCTTCGTTCCTTAGTCAGCCGTCCTTCTGGTAGCACGCCGGGTATATCATCCCGTGCTCTGTCCAACCAACCCCTTACTGTAGGTTCGTGCCGTGTCGACGCGGCGGCTGCGATATGGAAGATTATCGCTGACAATGCTTTCTCTCGCTCTGCGCGGCAGAGGTCGTAGCTCTAAGGCCAAGGGCCCTAGTTTGAGTAAAAACGGTTGCGGCAGAGCGGGCATGAGAGACAGAGCGGAAGCGAGGCGGAAGAGGGGATTAGGAGCGAGGGAACCGCTAGGAATCACACTCCTCCTGCACGTCTTTCGACGGCGCTCGCAGCGGCCTGAGAGAGACGGGCATATCTTCTCTCGCTTCATTATACGGAGCGAATTATCCAGATAATTCTGAAAACAGCGGCGGCGGCAGCAAAGGCAGGCAAACGGCCTGGCACGGCTTTCAGCAAAGGATCTTATCGAGAGAAGGTTTGAATGGGTGCGATCGTCATCACATCTCTAAAAAAAACTGTGCACACTGAATGAAGCTTCTCCATATGCGGAATTACGTGTGGATCTTTAGCCGGGCGTAAAAGACAATACAGCAAAGCGGACTCACATATGAATAGACGGGTGTGAAAATCGAGCAGCAATGCGGACTGACGTATGAATGGCCGGGTATGAAGTCTCAGCAGCAATGCGGACTAACGTATGAGTAGCCGGGTATGAAATCTGAGCAGCAGAATATTTGCTGATCCGTTCGGCCAACCTGCCGCCCGGACACCAAGCGGGGTTCATCTTTTCTTCTTGGGCTTCATCGGTTTGTCCATCAGGTCGGGTCCTCGCCAGCAGTCTCTGCCTGTGAGTCTTCTCCAGCTGCCCATGAGATCGTTAATCACGCCCTCCAGAAAGATCGTGAAATCGGGGTTGCTGCACCGGTAGTGCCGGAGCGGCCACGACGCATGCTTCTTGCAGGTATTGCAAGTGATGTGGACACTGTGCGGGTTGTACCCGATGACGAAATCATGGTGAGGAAAACCAGTCACGCAGGTGAGCATCTCGTTCGGCTGCACTGTCGGTGAGGAGCCGTTCCACGATACAACACTTGCTGACGTGGCTGACACTGAGCTCGATGAACTCGTCACAGTGACGACGCTTGGCGATGCAGGGGCCGAACTTCCTTGATATATCACTGATCTTGATCGTCCAGATCCCCGTGCTGATGTTGCGGTACATGATGATGGTGGTGCGCTGGCAGGCGGTGGTTCTGGCGGCAACAGTGGCGGCGGCGGCTGTTGAATCGCAGCCGATGCTACTGAACTCGATGCCTGCGCACTGCTGAAAACGTCCGTGTGGGATATCGTGATGTCACCGTCGCGATCACGGTCCATTGGGATGGTAGGTGGTATGTTGCGGCGCCGGCCGATCATGCGGCCGTCCCAGCCGGGATGCTCGCCCATAGCCTTCGCCTCGGCGACGCTCTCTTCGGTAGCGATCGCGTTGTTCTGCCTCATGATCGTCCAGAGCGTCATGAAGATGCCGAAACCGATAGTCATGCCGAGGACCAGCGTGAACGTCAGCAGGCAGATGTAGAAGCTGTAGTCCGGCATAGTCGGCGTAGGCGTAGGCTGTCCCTTGGCCTTGCCGAGGCAGGTGAACAGGACTGAGGCGAGCATGGCGGCGTGCGGCTGCCGGGTCCCGTAGGTGTGCTTGCGGGCCCCGAAGACCGACAGCAGGACGCCCATCTCCATCGTATTCGTCAAGGCGTCCGCGACCATGGCCCAGGTCGGGATCCAGCTGAGCTTGAGCGCGCTGTTGGGATGCACGGCCTCCTTGATCATGGAGGCGACGATGCGGAACCGCTTGTCGGTCGACTGGCCCACATCTGAGGCGATGTGCGTCACGAGACCCTTGCTGTCGCTGTAGATCTTCCCGGGGCGCTTGTCGGCGAGCACGTCGATATGCTTGATCGCCGCCTTGGGGTTGTAGGCCTCTGTCAGCAGCTGTCGGAACCAGATGTTGGTCTCTGATCCCTCGAGGGTGGCGTAGCCCTCGGCAGCGAGGGTCGACTTCACCGACCTCTTGACTGTGCCGGAGTGCCAGGCGACGGGCAGGCGCAGATCGTAACGGCCGCCGACGACGTCGCGCGGGCGATGGGTAAGCCCCATCACCATGCCCCACTGGCTCTTGACGCCGTCCACGTTGGCGCACGCGGCGTCGCTGAAACACGCGGCGATGGCCGTCTTCAGGTCGACGAGCTTACGCTTGAGCACGATCGCGAAGTTCGCGGTGGAGTGCACGTAGGCGACGGTCTCGTTGAGCGTCTTCACGTCGGCCACGGTAGCGACGTTGGCACGGCGAGCTGCAAAGCTCACCGGGCAGGCGATGTCCACCCGGGTCTTCACCGCTAGCCACGGCAGCTGCCCGAGCGTGTGGCGGTAACTCGTCACCTCGGTGGCGGTGAGCCGGTCCTCGGCACCTCGGCCCTTCTGGGCCTTCAGGTCGACGTAGTCCACCTGCGCGGCGGCGGTGGCCTGGGTCACGCGGAACTCGTCGGCGAGCTTGGTAATCGTACGTCCGCAGTACTTGATGACCCCTTCGACCGGCTCGAGGTGCAGCTTCTTCCCCAGCGATGCGATAGTGGTCTTCCACTTGGTGGACTTGTTGCGCTGGGCGATCAGGAAGTCGTCCACATGTGAGTGGACCACCGCGGCGAGCCCACCTTCGTCGTAGAAGTAGTAAAGGCCCTTCTCGAGCTTGCTCTCCACGAGGCCGTGCTCGGTGAAGGCCTTCTGCTCGTAGAGGTACCACTGCCTCCCGGCGACGCGCGTCCCGTAGATCGCGCCTGTGGCCATCGCGATCTCGCCAGGATGGGTCCCCGGCGGCGGGTCCTTGGCCGGCATTCGCAGGAGCAGTAGCCTCTCGATGTTACCCGACTGCAGGTAGGCCGTCATCGCGTTGCAGGACGAGATGTCCCAGTCCTTCTGGGCCGCAACCGCCAGGGTCAGGTACAGCGCGTCCCTGGACTCCGTAGGCGCGTCCGTCCTGATCCGCGACTTGTCCTCCTGGCAGCATTGCGCGACCAAACGGGCCTTCATGACGTTCTGGCCCTTGTTGGTCAGCACCCAGCGTGCGCCCGCAGGGCGGGTGCCAGGGTTGCGCCGCAGGAACTCCGTCAGCTCCTTGGGCGGGAGCTTCTTGTAGGCGCCGAATTCCGTCCACTTGGGCCACTCGGTCTTCATGGCGGCGTCCATGTTCTTTTTCTCGGTGGCGCTCAGCGCGTCGTACTTGAGCTCCTTGGCGGTCGCGTTGCCCGTGAGCAGTGCCTCGCGGAGTCGTGTACTTGCGTAGAGCTCGTCCGCGCGCTTCTGCAAGTAGTTGTCCAGGTAGAGGTCGATCTTCTTCGTGTCCTTCGGCCTCTTGAAGCACTTGGGCAGATCGTCCAAAAGCTCCTTGCGCTTGACAGTGCGCTCGCGGGGGTCGAGCTCGTGCTGGCGGTCACGTTGCAGCCGAGGCCGAGGCCGAGGCCGAGGCCGAGGCCGAGGCCGAGGCCGAGGCGGAGGCGGAGGCGGAGGCGGAGGCGGAGGCGCAGGAAGAGGCGGAGGAGGAGGACGACGAGGAGGAGGGAGGCGGAGGAGGAAGAGGAGGAGGAGGAGGAGGAGGAGGAGGCGAAGGCGGAGGCGGAGGAGAGGAGGAGGGGAGGAGGAGGAGGAGGAGGGAGGGAGGGGAGGAGGAGAGAAGCGGAGGAGGAGGAGGAAGAGTTGGAGGAGGAGGAGGTTGGTTGGTTGGTTGGTTGGTTGGTTGGTTGGTTGGACCCTTTTGGATCTCGTGTGAGGCCGCGGGCACGGCCCCTTTAGCGAGACTGCCGGGCAGAAGGCGCTTCCGAGGGACCCTATCCTGTCCCGGCCCCAGCCCCCGCAGGAGGACCAGAGAGGGGAGGAAGGTCTCAAGAGGGCCCCCACGACGTACAGCCACGCAGCGATCCTAGAGAGATCGCCTCCACGCGAGCCCTCGGGTCGGCCGCCGAAGAACTCGGATCCTGGTCAGCTCCTGAAAGCCCAGAGAGCCTCCCCAGCCCACCCCACACGGCATCCGGGGACACTCGAGCTAAACCCGCCTCGGGGTCCTGGCGCGCATCAGCGGCCTCCCAGGGCTACGTGGGCGATCGCAGCCAGGAACGCGGGGAGGGTGGGAGGGTTCAAGCGGGAGCCCGCAGTGCTCGACGCAAGGGGGCCCTACCCGGTCCTGGCTCGCCGCGTGGCAAAGCACAGAAATGGGTGTCTCGGCAGTGCCTTAGCAGGAGCAGCAGCAGCAGGAGGAGGAGGAAGAAGAGGAGGAGAAGGAGGGAGGCAACCACGAGTGTCAGTGCAGGTGCTGCTCGCCGTCGCCAAGTGCAGCCTGTAGCTTCCCGCGATAAGAGTCCCCGTGTCGCGCCTCTGGCTCTGGCCCACCACGCCTCGGAGCGACACGCTCACGTCCTGGTCACCCTCCTCCTCCTACTCCTTCTCCTACTCCTACTCCTGCTCCTGCTCCTGCTCCTACTCCTACTCCTAATGCTACTCCTACTCCTACTCCTATTCCTCTTCGTCGTCGTCGTCCTCCTCCTCCTCTTCCTCCACATCCTCCTCCTCCTCCTCCTCCTCTTCCTCCCCCTCCTCCGCCACCTCCTTTTTCTCCTCCGCCTCCTCCTCCCCCTTTTCTTCCTCCTCCTCCTCCTCCTCCTATCCTTATTCCTTATTAGAATATACTCCTACTCCCCCCTCAGGCCGGCAGATAGGGGCCGCATCCGGTGGTCCCATCCTAACCTGTAAAAATACAATCCAAAATCAACATTTTTCTTTTTTTTTTCCTCTCGACATGGACGTCCTGTCGTCCACGGCGATAATCCATTGCAACAAATACCACAAAGAGCACACGCGCGCGTTCATGTCATAATCCTACCGAACACCGTGTGTTTGCAAGCATCTCAACATAAAAGCATCAAACACCCAATGCTTTTTCACAAAAATTGTACAAATTGTACAAACCATAGGAATCTTAAGAATCCGGTCAAATCCAGCGATTTCACGTCATCGCGCGGTGCACTCGCGATGCTCTGTCATGCACCCAGGCCGCGAATCTTGTGCAACAAATACCACAAAGAGCACACTCGCGCGTTCATGTCAGAATCCTACCGAACACCGTGTGTTTGCAAGCATTTCAACATAAAAACATCAAAAACCCAATGCTTTTTCACAAAAATGCTTTGGGGTGTCCTGTCAGACCGTCGGGCTTCCTCTGGCCACCTCTGGCTTCCTGCGGTGTACCGGGCCATTCTCGACTCGTCTGGCAATGCGTGCGCGGCATTCAACACGCGCTCGCCAATTCCCGTCGGCAACCGCCATCGCGGCCGCATCAGCTGTACCAAACCGGCTGGCCGGTGTGACTTCGGCCCCCAGTTGTGCCAGCTTTGCTTCTTATGCTGTGGGAGGGCGGGTGGGACTGGGCATGCCATGCTTGACTCGCTCGAGCTGGCCAACTTGACTCCTACTCCTACTCCTCCTCCTCCTCTTCTTCCTCCACCTCCTCCTCCTCCTCTTCCTCCTCCTCTTTCTCCTCCGCCTACTCCTCCTCCTCCTCCGCCTCCTCCGCCTCGTTGTCCTGGAGCGTCCACGTCCCGAGCCTCTCCCAGCCCCCGCCCCGCGAGGCGGAGCGACAGGCTGTCCGCTCGCACGGCGCAGCGTGTCGCCGCAGCCGCCGCCGCGGCGCGCGAAGCAGCAGTTCCTGTCCGCACATCGTCCGAAAGTTGCGATCTTTGCGATTGTTTTTCGCTTGCTGCGCCGCGTGCCACCGGGCGAAAAAAACAGCTATCGGACCCTTCCCGTGGATAGACTGCGGCTGCCCAGGCTGCGGACTATTCCGCGGGGCTCATCGACACGGACCCCGAACGAGAAGGCGACGAGGAGCACGCCTACGAGTCCTTTTTTAATGAGACTTCTGGCAACCAGTTCGTGCCGCGAGCAGTCTTCATCGACACAGACCCCGCTTCCAAGGACTGTGTCAATTTTCCCTTGCTCCTTCTCCTCCTCCGCCTCCTCCTCCTGGTCCTTCTCCGCTCCTTGCCCTCGCAGTCGTGAGGATCGGATCGGCCGAGAACAACACAAGAAGCGCAGCAGCTTATCCAGTTGCAGTGCTCGGAAGCAGCGACTTCTGGCTGCTGGACATTGCCCTGTCAAAATTGTCACGAATTTCAAATGCCAGATATGTGTTTTGATGTTCCCTGCCTTGAAGGGTAAGCTTGGACGATTTTACCTGCCTGTGTGTCCAGGGTGTTGGGCTCTGTTGGTGGAGTTGGGTCGTCAATTGGGACAACGACCGCGGGCCAAGGTCCCAGTGGGACTTTTGTTTCGCACCCAAGCCTGTCGAGGTGTCCCCACTCTCATAATCTTGCTGTGTATAAGGGGAGTCTTGTTTGTCAGGATTTGCGGCAACTGCTGTGTCAGAGCTCTTGTGAAGTTGGCTGAGCCCTGTTCTTCCATGTCGGCCACTGCGAGGGCCAATTTGAGGAGGCTCAGAAAACGGGCTGCCACCTACATGTGGCGTCCAGTTCCCCAGTTCCCTTGGTGAATGTGGAGGTGGTCTGAGCAGGCACTCCGGGCGCCCATCTGCTTGAAGGTCGGAAGGCCCTCTCTCGCGTCCGCCCTCCTCCTTCACTTCCTCCTCCTCCTCCTTTTCCGTAGCCATTTTGGCTCAAGTTTCGGGCCTGTCCCCCTGCGTTTCGAGGACGACTGCTCGCGCAGGGCTGCCCCTCTGGCCGGACTGGCCGCGGCCTCCCCGGTGTGGAGACTGGAGATGTCGACCGCCCGAGCGGGGCTGCCGCCGATGGCTCTCGCGCTGCTGGCGCCCCGCGCCACCCGCACGCCGCCGCCAGCCGGCCGCAGGCTCAAGTCCCCGGCGCAGCAGCGGGACCACGCCAGGGGCAGGTGCGACCAGGCTGCTATCTGGAGCCCGAGGAGACCTGCGGCAGCCGCCTCTCCGAGGGCCCCGGGGATGCCGACGTGGAGGTTGTCCTGGGCAACCTGCCCGCCTCGACCCCTGGCGAGCCTGTGCGCCTGACCTTCTGGGCCCCCCTACGAGTCCCTGCGGTCCTACGACCCTCTCGAGAGCGCCCTGAACGCGTCCGTCTACAGTGGCTTCGCCGACTCCTTCCCGACGTACTGCGATGTGGAGTTTAACGGCGGCAGCGTGCCCGTCAACGAGTCTGGCTTCGCCACGATCGGGATTCGAGACCCTGCCCTCTACATCATTCACCTCTACGTCACGATGCTCCACGCCGACCTGCGTGTATGCCACAGCGAGTCTGGCGGCAGCGTCGGGATGCACCCCGACACCCTGCTGTTCGGCGTCGGTGAGAAGTGGGTCATTACCAAGTCGCAGGACTCCCGCATCTCGGTGGCCTCCGCGAGGGCGTATGAGGCGGGCCAGACTGACCCGACATTGGTGGACGAGGTGGCCGACGAGGTGACGTACTCCATCCCTCGCACGTATTCACACGTTTGCGCAATTCACCACTCAGGCCAAGACGGCTCGGAGTCGGAAGAGAGCACGGTGGAATTGGGAGGGGTCACCACAACCGCCGCCACGGCGACGGCGGCTTCGCAGTCGCTGGAGCTGACGCCGATGATAGAGGCCGCCAAGGAGGCCCTGGACCTCGATGCGCTGACGCACTCCCCCGCCTACGGCTGCTTCTTGGAGAACCGGTACTATCCGCACTACGAGGATGCATGCGTCGACGAATGCGCCGACGGCGACGCCGTGGCCGTGGCCCACGGGCAGTGCCTGCCTGCGGGCGGAGGTCCTCGACGCGGCCGCCGGCTTCCGGGCGGAGTGGGAGCTCGGCGTTCGCTGCGCCGACCTCTGCGGCGCGGACGCGGCCAACGAGACCTTGCACACGGTCCGCCAGGAGGCGGCGGGGCTGGTCACGGCCCTGTCCATGCAGTGGGTCGAGGCGGCTGGGAGGCCTCCCGGAGCAGGAGCCGCGCGCGCTGCTCCTGCAGGTGTCCGCGACCACCCGGCGCGTGCCCGCCGAGGTGGACGGGCCCCTGCTCGGCGCGCTGCTGCCAGGGGCCCCCGCGGCCTCCGCGCTGCTGCAGGGCACAGGTGGTGGCCGTGGAGCAGCTTAGCTGCCTCGACACGCCCGTTTTGATGCGCAGCACGTGCCGTGCTCAGAAGGTCCGTGCCACTGCGTTGCGTGTTGGCTCCACGTATTGGACCACGTTTGGGCGAACGTGTCGCGTCGGACCTGCGTTGTCAGCCTACGCGTTGAGGCCCGTATCAATACTATGCGTGCTGCGCGTTGCGTATCGGGGCAGCCGAGTGGAGCAGCTGTCCAGCCCGGGGGAGATCGACCCGGACCTCAGCATGGGCGAAGGCTCGGACCCCTACAGTGGGGGCTCGTGCCAAGAAACCAACTGGATTTTGCTAGGGTGCCCTGGGTTTCTTGGATTTTGATGGGCCCCCAGTAAGATCTTGACGAGTTTCGATCGACAAGTTTGGGTTCTCACTGAACAGATCGCGGATTTCAGGGTTGGGTTTCTTGCGGAGGTTTCTTGTGGCCGAGCCCCCACAGCTCGGGGGCGGCAAAGAGGGGGGTGATGACTAGGGGGGGACCGGATATCATGGCGGGGGTCATGATATTTCCCCAGATGTCATGGCGCCTCTTCTTGTTTCATTACGTCACTGGCCCCCCCGCTGGGCCGCGCACGTGCCGCCGGTCATGACTTGCACCCCCCCCCCTCTTGGCCGCTCCCGATCAGCATGGGCGAAGGCTCGGACCCCCACGAGGCGGCGCACGAGCACCCGGAGCCCTCCGCGGGCGGCCCTCCGCGGGCGGGGCCGGCGCGGGCAGTACCCTGCCCGCCCGGGTGGTCGCCGCCGCCGCGGCCCTCGCCGTGCTGCTCGCGGCGGGGCTCGGGGCCCTGGTCTATCGGGGGTGGATCGGCCTCCTACCCTGACACGTCGATTAGTGAATTGGCCGTTTTCGGTTCGCGAGAGGGCGTCGCGGCCGTCGTTTTTGCGGGTCCAGGTCCGTCGGTTTCGGTCTCAGGCCGTTTTCGCTAAAGGGAGGTTTACTAAAGGGAGGTTTGGCACCGCCGAGTCTACCTGCAGCGCCAGCGCGCCCGCCTCGCCCGTGAGGTCATGGCGAGCAAGGTGGCGGATCCCTGGGAGGCGGTACCTGGCGTGCGGGCCACGGGGATGGGGCAGCCCGACGTTGAGGAGAACAGCACTGGCGCCGGGGCTCTGTGATCTTGCGCTGAGCAGCAGGTGGGAGGTCGATAGATCTACGGGTTCGCACTTGCTTGCCGTTCACAACCACACACACACACTAGACGTACTCATTAGTTTGGGGGTATTGATATCTTTCTGAGGATCGGAGCCATTACCATTTTGTAGGTAGGTTTGGAGAACGCCACCAGCATTACGGATGTATGCCGCGTGGCGTGCGCATGGTAGTTCACAGCGTTGTGTGCAGTGCATTTTTCCATTGCTGGCTTGCCCGCTGAGTGCAGGTATGAGCATTCTGCGTCATTAGCTATTGAACTGGTTTGCTTCACCGCGCTGTTGCACGTATGTAGATCGTTCCTCGTGCTGGTGTGAGGGTCCTCCAACTTGATAGGACTGCACAGGAATGCTCCTTTGCACAAGGCATGGAAAGTAATGCCTTTACAAGGTGGATGGGGACTTTGCAAGCAGAGCTACGAGCTCTCGAAGCTTGTGATTCTTCGCGCTGCACACCAGTGGACCGTGACTCTCCTCCTCCTCCTCCTCCTCCTTTACCTTCTTCTTCCCTCCCCCGTGCCGTACGAGGACTGCCTCAGAGCCAGCCAGTTCAAGTCGTTGTTCCACCCGGACTGCATGGTCACCTACAAGCGATCGTGCATGGGTGTCTTCAGCGAGGGTTTCACCATGGGGCGGGAGTCTTAGCTAAAAGGGCATGGTGCGTCCCGTCGATGAATGTTTCTGGATCGATTCATTCTCCTCCTCTTCCTCCCCCTCCTCGCCCTCCTCGTCTTCCCCCCGTATGAACTGATTAAAGCCCCCCAAGTCTTTGATGGCAATAAGAATGAGAAATAAGAAGAACATCCGGGATGTTTTCCACGCCGCTGCTGCGCAGACTCAAGGGCCCTAAAGAGGTTTGGGCCAAAGTGCAATGGTACGCTCGCTATGCTACAGTCTTGCTCGGCACAATAACACGATGTACAGCGTATATCTCACGCCCGTGACAGAGTAACAAATGAGACAGGGAGAAGCCCTCCCTTCAATATGACATGTGAAATCTAAAACTCCACCAACAATCCTCTTCTGCACAAGCTGCAGGAACTGCATAAACGAACGGCAGAAGTATGAACTGCAACACCTGCATATGCAAGCTGAATATGAAGTGCACACATTGCATAAATATGGACTGCATAACTGGCAATAAAAAACTGAGCGTACAAATCATCTGAAGCTGCGCTGGTGTGTTGGCTCATTCACTGCAGCCCTTGGGGCTGTCATCTGCTGCCTGATTGTAGTCGTCCTGCCGTTCGCTGGGTTCGGTCGTCTCTACTGAAACTTCGCCTGCACGCTTGAACCCGCTCATCTTGTGACAAAACCGCCACTGATCTCCTTGCAAACGGTAGGTGACCATACTCTCCACGCCGACCGTCCGCCGTCGCACTTGCTTGTGGGTGCTGCTCGTCTTCTTGAGGTGGATGGTCGTCTACTTGTCGATGCTGGCCGTCGCTGTCTCCTCGGTTGTCTCGCGCTTGTTGCTGGTCTCGGTCTGGCACTTCACTGGAGTCGTCTCGATGATCCCAAAACTCTCGTAATACATAGTAGACTGCTGGAACTGCCACTGCCATTCCAATCATCATAAACGTTCATGCATCCAAAATACCTCTGGAAAACCACGAACACCTCGCAATCTCGTCATAGTAGTATTTGTACTCTGTGTTGTAGTCAAACTCTGCAGTGTAGATTGCCGCTGTCTTGCAACAACACGTTGCAAAAACTGCCAACTGCATGAGTGGTAATCTCGCCTTTGTAGCTGATGATGTGTCCATCTTACTCTTCCTGATGATCTCCTGTCGCTCCTCCTTGGTCTTCTTCTTGGCTGCCGTATAAGTATGGTCGTGCTGTAGCTGAAGTCGTCCTGCTCGAAGTCTGTCTGCAAAGAGCTGGCTTGCCGCTAACTTCGTGAGACCATCCGCGTACTGCCGCTCTGATAAGACCCACTTCCACTGCGTCTGTGTAGCCTCCATTCGTTCTCGTAGTGCCAATACCTCAATGCCGGTACGCTTGTCCCGGAAGCTAGTGATATTCTCCTTCTTGGCTGCGTCGTAGAGTACTTTCGCGTCGATCACGAGTGCTGACTCTCCTGCGTAGTGCGTGCTCTCGTCAACATTGACGTTCACGTTGTCGTAGATGAGGGCTGCCCAGAATTGCTCCGCAAATTCTAGTGCGTCCATGCCTGCTGCCGCTGCTTGGGATTATGCATGTAGTGATGACCTGGCTAGCCTCGTCAACTTGAAAGACTTTCAATCAACAACGCAGAAATCGGAATTCTCGCCGTCGAGTGCTTTCGAGTGGCATGCCATGATTACATACCCTCCTTGATTAGTTCCGTCTTGTCGTACTCCCTAAGCTGCGTCCGTCATCGCCACGAGCACGATATCGCTGACCTTGCCAATCTTCTTCATCTTGAGGCCGACGTCCGCGTTTGCTTGCAGAACCTCAGCGTCTTATTCACCCCTCTTGCTGTCGCCACTGTCGCCGTCGGAGGCTGCCCTTTGTGAATGCTGACCGATGCTGACGTGTGTGGGCATGCTTGCGAACTTGGCCACTGTAAAGCTCCAAGTAGTCCTCGAAGCTGGCGTGTCTCCTTCGGTGTGAGTAGTCGGTCGTTGTTGCTGTCCTTCTGATCCATCGTGATCGGTTTGAGGATGGAGGCGTCGGTCTGCATCTTGATGTTGATCTCGGTGCCGCTGGAGTGCTTGTTGTCCCAGTGAGTCACAGTGAGTGGTCTGGTGTAGGCCCGATCCGCAGTACTCCATTTTGTCCTCCTCTAACCACTTCCGAAACTTGAACTTGCTCTTGACTGCTTCGATAAATGTTGCTGTAGTTGCTGCCGGGCCCGCGATCGCCTCCTCCGAGCACGTCGTCTACGCAGAGTAGGATAAGCCCGTCGCAATTGCCGTCCTTGTCGCAGCTAACGAAAAGACATGGGTCCAGGGGGTGCTGCTTGAGTCCGCTGGCCTTGGGGTCGTCAACTGCTCGTTGCCACCAACGTCGTGGTGCGTCCGCTTGTCCGTACATAGGCTTGATTAACTTCATGAGCGTGTCCGGTTCGATGCCCATGAGGTCTGTTGCGTCTCGTGGCATTTTGGGCGTAGAGTACTCATTCTTGCGGTCGTCCTTGCAGGAATGCGGTTGCCACGTCCGCTGTCCACAATCTCCATCCGTTGTTTGCCGCCAGTAACATCGCCAATTGACGTCCCAATCGAGATGCTGTAGGTAATGCTGTCGGTACCTTGCCGTCGAGTGCGTCTGGGTCGTTGAAGCCTTGTAGCACTAGACGTGCCCTGGCCCTCGGTGCGCCGTCGTCGTTCTTGGTCCACTTCAGTACCCACTTGGCCTTCAGGATGCGCTTGGGGCCTTCGTCTCCGGTAGGCTTGTGAAACTCCCAAACTTAATTTCCGAAAAAATCCTCAAGCTCCTTCCGCTTGCCATCCACGAATGCTGCTCGCTCGTGTGGTGTCATGGTCCTGGTACTGATCTCGGCGTGGATGTCATTGAGCTTCGCGTCGATGCCGTCGAACTCCCATCCAAATGGTAGGTCCTTGTCCTCTAGCATGAGCTGCATGGCTGCGAGCTCGTTGTCTGCGCTGTTGTCTCCCACTGGTTGAGACTCTGCCGTTGGTCCTGATAACGGTGGTCCTCGATGAACTCCTCCAGGTCGGGTAAAGATGGAAGCTTCTGCTGCGTCCAGTCGCCTGCGACTCTCCTTTAACTCCAATCTCGCTGTAGCAGATGTTGGAGCCGGTGTTAGTGAGCTCGATTATGCTGCCGCCGCTGGTCCCAACGTAACTGGTGCTGGTATTGGTGGTAGCAGCTGAACTGGAGGTGGTGGTGACCGTGTCTGCGCGGGTGGTGGAGTTGTTGGTTGTGCTGGTGATCCCATAGGTTGAGGTGGGGGTGTAGGTGGTATCGGTTCTTGATTTGGTTGTCCTTCACTTGGCTGTCTCTCCTGTTGAGGTGTGCCGGGAACGTCCATCTGCTCGTCCTCTGGTGCTGGGTATCCCTGGACTGGGGGGAGGTGGTGGTGCCATCTCCGTTGTCGTCGAAGCTGCTGCTCCAGTCGATGGGGCTTCCTCTCTGTCGCTTTGGTGGTGGTTCGTCTCCTGGTCCATCGTCGTCGCTGATGTCCATGTCCGAGTCGCATAGCGCGTCGAACGGTTGCTGCTGTGAGCTAACATCGTGGAACTGCGTGACTCCGGTTCTCCTCATGTTGCCGAGCGCTTCCTTGGCCTGCGTGAGGTTCTCCAGGGGCACACACCCTTGATCGCCAACATCTGGTCGAACGTGTTCTGGGGCACAGCATAGTAGGTTAGCGCCGTGCACGATCCAGTAGATCCTCGGTCCGCTCTCATCCTGCCTCACCCACACCACTGCGCGTATTCGATCTTGCCGTTGCCGAACCGGAATATCCGTCGGCACTTGTAGAACCTGAGGTCCTCGATGGGGTAATCTTTCTGCTTGCAGTCCCTTACGTGGTCCTTGACTGGCTCTGAGCCGGACATGAGCGTCGTCGCTCCACAGTCCATGACTCCGTTGCTGGCTGGTATTGCGCTGGTGTTGACCTTGCCGCCCCAGTAGACCTCATCGACCATCAAGCTGACGTCGGCGTGGACCCGCTTCTTGTTGGGTGGCTCGGTGCAGTCTCTAACCCAGTAGCCGGGCTTGCCGCATCGTAGGCAGTTGGCCGATGGTGCTGATGTTGGTGCTGGTCTCCTAGCTGCCCTTGCCCTTCCCATTGGGTCCGCTGCCGTAGGTCGTGGTCTGCTGTACGCGCCTGGAGGGGGTGATCCTTTGAGGCTGCCCTTTCGTCCTTTGGACTTGCCGCGTCCTTTGGTACCTTGCTGCTTGACCGGCCTCATCCGTGTGAACCTCCTGCTGATGCTGCGGCCGAGCCTGAGCTTCCGCCTACCATCGCCACTACAGGGTAGAAACCGCGTGCTAGCTTCAGGTCGTTGAACCGCTTCCTGGCGTCCGCGTAGGCCGCGTAGACTTCGTCATACTCGCCTGGGTCGAGCTCTTGAGCTGTGTTGGGGTTGCGCTGGTAATAGCTATCGTCGCAGTCGTACCAGGTCTCGTCATCCTCCGCCCAGCACGTCTGGTCGTAGCCGTCTGGCTCGTCCTCCGGCTCGCCAGTGTAGAACTCCTCATCGTAGTAGTAGGTTGCATCCTCGTCGACGAAATACTGTTTTCGTGCGTGATTCGGCTCGTGCATGATACTCTCCTGCCCGAACGTTGTCTCCGACGCCTCGATAACCCTCTCCTGTGTGATATCCTTACCAACTACCGACATGCTGACCGCCTTCTGGTCTGCGCTGTATCCTCCTCGTCGTAGCGCGAGCCATCCTCGGACCTTCGCCAGTAGCTCGATGTCGCGCGTCCTGAGCTTCCGCTCTGCAGCTCGCACTCTTGAGATGTAGGTGAACAGTGTCTCGCCCTTGTACCGCTTGAGCTTGAAGAAATACTTCTCGAAGTCGTCCGCGAGCTCTGTCCTATCGTCCATCTTGAAACGATTCCGTAATCTGGCCACGAGCTGTTTCGCCGCGCTGGGCTTGATGAGCTCGTCCGCTGAGAGGTCCTCCCTTCGTCCCAAGCTTCGCCTGTGAGACCTACGCTGAGCATGAGAGCCGCTTCGCCCTCCTTCTTCAATGTGAGCTTCGCAATGAAGATCATCGCCCGCTTCTCGTATTCTTTCCATTTGCTGAGCGTGCCGTCGAACTGTGGAACTCCTCGCTCGGATAGCATGTCCGCCATCGGCTTGGACACGGTGCCGAAGTGAAGCTGCAAGGGGTTAGCGTCCGACACGTTCTTCGCGAGATCGAAGCTGCCCCGTTCTGTGCGATCGACTGCGAGATCGGCTGTGAGATCGAATGTGGACTCTGACGAGAAACTGACCAGGCTTAAGTCGGGCTTGTCCCTCTACAGGAGGAGTATTCAAAAAATAGTCAAAACATAGTATGGGAACTATGTTTGAGTATTTGTTCTGCCATGTTGGAATATTTATGGAGTATCTTTTATCCGTTAGGGCTTCGCCCCCTGCCGCCGGCCCCCTCTCTCGGAGAATGGGCCATGGAAGAGCAAAGTCATGAGGTTTTGGCTTTGCCGTGAAGCAGTGTCGGGACCTATCTGTTTTCCGACCCTGACCCTGCCGATTTGCGTGAGGGGTGCCGCCGAATTTCAGACATGTGGCAAATCCTTTTTGTTTTTGGACCCTGGCCCTACGGATCTGCGTGAGGGGTGCCACCGAATTTCAGAAATGTAGCAAATCCCATGTGTTATTGTACCCTGACCCCGCCGATCTGCGTGAGGGGTGCCACCGAATTTCAGGAATGTGGCGAATCCTTTGTGTTATTGTACCCTGACCCCGCCGATCTGCATGAGGGGTGCCACCGAATTTCAGAAATGTGGCAAATCCTTTGTGTTTTTGGACCCTGACCCCGCCGATCTGCGTAAGGGGTGCCACCGAATTTCAGAAATGTGGCAAATCCTTTGTGTTTTTGGACCCTGACCCCGCCGATCTGCGTGAGGGGGTGCCACCGAATTTAAAACGTGCTGCAAATCATATGTGTTTTTGGACTCTGACTCCGCCGATCTGCGTGAGGGGTGTCACCGAATTTCAGAAATGCTGCAAATCCTATGTGTTTTTGGACCCTGACCCTGCCGATCTGTTTGAGGGGCGCCACCGAATTTCAGAAATGTAGCAAATCCTTTGTGTTTTTGGACCCTGACCCCGCCGATCTGCGTGAGGGGCGCCACCGAATTTCAGAAATGTAGCACGTCCTTAGTGTTTTTGGAACCTGACCCCGCCGATCTGCGTGAGGGGGGGAGTACCACCGAATTTCAGAAATGTGGAAACTCCCTTGTGTTTTTGGACCCTGACCCCGCCGATCTGCGTGAGGGGTGTCAATTTTCACCCCCTTCAGGAATTCTGAGAACCCTCCCGGGGGATGCTAACCAGGGCGGTTTTCGGCTCCCCCCCCTTTCGCGCGGACAGTAACAATTTACAGCAGGAAGCAGACAGCAGTATTGTAACAATGGAAACTGGAAACTGGAACTGGTGCAGGGAGCAGCAAGCCTAACCCTCGCAGCCTGGTGGCCCCGCAAGGGGGCCGGATGATTTTTCGTCGAAATCCTCCTGTAGGGGGACACGCCCGACTTAAGACCAGGCGGTCTGTGAGATCCGCCGCTGGGTCGAAGCTTATGGAGGTGGCGACGAAATCCGAAGACTTGCCGCCGAGATATGGAAGGTCGAAGCGCTAGCCTGGCTGACCAGGCTCCGCTACCAATATGAATTCATCACAGCTCCCGAAGTCTCCAATGGCAATAGGAATGAGAAATACGCGAAATCTGAAGACTTGCCGCCGAGATATGAAGGTCGAAGCGTGAGCCTGGCTGACCAGGCTCCGCTACCAATATGAACTGATCAAAGCCCCCGAAGTCTTTGATGGCAACAAGAATGAGAAATAAGAAAAACATCCGGGATGTTTTCCACACCGCTGCTGCGCTGACTCAAGGGCCCTGAAGAGGTTTGGGCCAAAGTGCAATGGTACGCTCGCTATGCTACAGTCATGCTCTGCACAATGACACGATGTACAGCGTATATCTCACACTCCTTCCCCCTCCTCTCTGCCGTGAGCGCCCCTCCCTTCCTGGGCCTACCGCAAAGGGACGACACGCTCGCGGTAGGACTTGCGGGGGAGGTCGTGCGCAGCCGTCAATCCTCTCGGGCCGCTGCTAGCGGCCTCTGGCCCAACTGCCTCGCGGCTTCTGCTCGCTGGCTCGCCCTTCCCCCTCCCTCCCTCCTCCCTCTCTTCCTCGGCTCGTTCGATCAAGGCCTCGGGCTTGATTCTTCGACTCCTTCCCCTCCTCCTGCTCCTCCTCCTCCTCCTCCTCCTCCTCCTGCTCCGCCTCCTCCTCCGCCTCCTCCTCCTCCTCCTCCTCGTCTTCCCTCCTTCCCTCTCCTCCGCCTCCT